TTTTTTTTTTCAAAGTCAGCAATAACAACTGATGATTAATGAAATAGTAGACAAAGTTTTAGAAGACAAAGATCAAAGATATAGAAAAAGTGAAGAGGGGAAAAAAATGTGTGAAGAAAAAAAAAAGGTATCCGTTAGGTATGACGTATTCTATTGTATTATATTCAAAAACACGATGTCTAAGAAGTTTCGTTTTATCAGAAAGATTACTTGTGCTAATAATAGACCTTTATTTCTTTTCTTTTTGTTACACCTTATTAATTTACTTTTTTTTTTCTTTTTTTTTCGTTTTAACAGCTATAAATTGTCAGGAAAACAAAAAAAAGAAGGAAAATTTGAATTGAAATTGTATAGGAAAAACTGGCATAGAAAAATTTGCGCCTATCGTCTAACCTTTTGATGCAATTTGTACCGTAAATCGAACAGCCGGTGTATCCTCATAGTTAAGCTTTTTTACCAATTCAATAGTACCGTTTGGATAAACGGCCAGATGTTGTTGGCCACCGCTGATTCCAATCACTCGTTCACCGTTCATCAACATTATACGCTATAAAAGAAATAGAAGATAAAGAAGAAAGAAAGAAAAAAAAAGCAAAAAAAGCAATAAATTACATAAGGAAACTATCCTGGCATTTATAAAGTATTACAATATCAACACTCATCTCTAAATATTTTATAAGATTTTATAATAAAAAAGCAATGAAAAATTGGAAAAAAAACTGTATTTGAGTATGAAAATAAAATTGCTAAGATACGACGGGATACTTTTTTTAGTTTTCCTAATGGATGATCTTCACGTAACGTAAATAGAACATCTGTAGCCAAGCCACGTCTATATCGCATCTGTCGTACATCAACTGGTTTTGATGATAGAAACTGTTGCCAGCTTAATCGACGTTCAATGTCATCATCTTTACCGGTTACAACAACAGTAACCGAGCTTCGTGATTCCTAAACAAAAAAAAGAGAATGATAACAGTTTTAACCTCAACTGTTGTTAGTTACCATTGCAGATTGCTAAAAAAACAAAAAATACTGTGCAAAGATTTTCAAAATAGTACTGTAATAGTGTGAAATAAATGTGAAATGAAGTAAAAAAAAAGAAAAAAACCTGACCTGAGTGTCAGAATTTTTTGCAATTACATCAAACATATATTTTCCAACAGTAATTTGACGTCGAGCAAATATGTTGCCAGAATTGGATGAAATAACAAATGGTACAGTTTTTGGTTCAATATGATATGATACAAAATTTTTTGCCGACCTAAAACAGTATAACAATTTTTGATGGTTTTCATAAAACTATCAGACAGTAAAAATTAACAATTCCAAAGAAACTATTTTTTCTTTTAACACTCATTCTTCAATTCCAATTAATTTTTCCATTTTTGGCATTTCTGATCACAGCATCTGATGATGTTTTTGTTATTTTTTGTTCCTTTTCAACTGTTTTTTCAGCATAGACTTCTGCTTTACTTTCTGTTTCCAGTTATTCCTTTTTTTTTAGTGTTTTGATCAACTAACTTATTCTTTTTTTTTTTTTTAAAGGCTAATATTTATCACAGTATTTTGTTGCAGCACTGTTAACGATACATCATAAAACACCTATGATTATCATCGTTATCATCACGGTCATCCAATAACCAGAATCTTATGCTGCAAAATTCATGAGAAATGTATTTCTGTTAAGACAGAAAAAAAACTGATGAATTATTGACTGCATCAAAGATCTTTACCAAGGAAAAAAAACGGCATTCAGTGGTTGATTAAAGGATTAAAAAGCAATAATTATTAGTTTGTTGTATGGTGCAATAACAATAAAAAAAAAAGAAATATCAAACAATTAACACTTTTTGTTTTTGACAACAGTTGGCTTTCTGTTTTTGTCCATAAAAGGCAAAAAATTAGAGGGGGGAAAAAAGGTTTTGATCTGTTCAAAATGTTTGAACAGCCCAAAAACCTTTTTGTCATTTTTGTTTGTTCATCCGCAAAACAATAGTTGCAATAATTAATAGTTCGGGATTTTTCGGTTCTCGTTGTTTCTTCTTTTTCTTCTTCTTCTTCTTCTTCTTCTTCTTC